ATTTGAACAGTGTTTAAAACTTTTAATTATCCATGTTTATGGGGACATTAGAGAATAATCATGCTTTTTAATTAACAGGTCTCATCTTTATAGATCCTTCATTCACTTGAAGGCAAGCTATACCTACATCTTGATCATGTGAGGAGCAATTTCATATTTCATAACGTTTTCTCAGGCTTTTCAGGAAATCTTGAGTTATATACTTTTTTAAAAGCTTCTGTTTGGTTGCTGTTTTTATGAATTTGCAGGTAGTCTTTGCCTTGCGAGGTGATACAGGGATGCTGCTCCTCACCACCCACGTAGAGCAGTGCATCAGTAGGACTTGCTGCGATGGTGCAGGTGCCATTTACCCGCACTGTCCAGTGCAGTGGCCCTGAGCCACATGGGGCGTTGGACATTTGACATGGCTAGTGAAAGTAAGGAGCTGAGTTTGCGATGTTACGCAGTTTTGTGTGTTAAATAGCCACACGCAGCCAGTGGCTATCTACTGGACAGAGCAGTTCTAAAGGACGTCCTTCAACACTTTTCACCGCGCTCACTGATACATGCCAAAGAACTATGTGAATTTCTTTCTCTCTGAATTTCCTAGCAGCTTGTGCATTGAACCAGAAAAGCATTGTTTTGTTTTCCATAATCTTCCATAGATACAAAGGCTATGATTGATAGAATTATGTTGGTCTCCTCTTCATTATGGTTTCCAAGATATACCTGAAAATGAGTAGTGATCCCAGGTGGATGACCATATTCATTTAAGAGAACATTTGTGACATTTATTGTATACTTTTTGTCAGAGATGGAAAATAATGTCCTGCAAAATGAGGATTGAACAGCTGAAACAAACAATATGTAAAGGAAATGAAGAAATGAAGAAAAGTAAGTAATTTTCCCCCTTCTTTCTAACCCTAAGAAATGGCATATGTGTAATTTCTTTGGATTAATATGCTGGAGGGACATGGAAAGAGAAGAGTTGGCCATAGCAGCATGGAAAAGTTTACTGCCTGGCCTTCTTTCTCCTTATGAAACACTCGTATAGGGTTTTTTTGTTTTTTGGGTTTTCTTTCATAAACACATAATTTTAGAGGCCTTAAATAACCTGCTACATTTCTCAAAAAAGTTAAGGAATGTGTTTTCCCATTTACGTTAGCTAATAGGAAGCTCAGACTATAAGTTGGTACTCACTGTTATTAATTATTTGTTCATACCAGAAGAGAGTACACCGACTTTTCTCCCTTAGTGGAGCTCCTTCATATTTTAATACATGTTAGTTTTACATTTTACTTGTACAGTTTATACTTTCTCATCAGTGGTTGTCAGAATTTACGAAATCCCACGTCCTTAGGCCCAGCTGCAGTGACACAGACAATGAGGTCACTGCTCTACAATGCTGGCCCATGTGGGGAGGCTCTGGTTCACAGCCCAGGTCGACCTCAACATGCCAGGCTCACCAGTGATCTCAACTGGCTGGAGGGTTTGGAGAGGAATCTCGTATGAAGACCCTGCCAGAGAAGACCTTTCTGTCTCTTTCTTAAAGGAAGGAAATAAACTTTTAAAAAAGAAAAATCTTACCTCCTTAGAAATACCTATTTCTGGGGACCAGCAGTTGGCATAATGGCTGTGTTGCTGGACTCCCATGTAGTTGACCACGGTTTGAGTCCGGACCGGGTGGCTTAAACTCACGCCAGATGCATATGCGTGTGTGCCAAAGATCCCAAGAGGAGAATGGAGGAGAAGGGATTGCGGCGTGGCCGTCCCTCCTGGGGGGTGATTTCTCGCTTTCTGTCTGTCTCTTTCTGGAGAGCGCATGTGCCCTATAGCAAACCCCCCTCCCAAAAAAAAAAAAAGAAAGAAATACCTATTTCTGTGGATCAGTGTTTAAGGTTTAGAATGAGTCACCATCATGCCTCATGAATCCCTTTCTCATCTACTCACTGCTGTCAGAAGCAAGTTTTTTATGGTGGTACGTAATGGCATAAAAGCTTCCTTTGAAAACGCTTGTCCTAATCAATGCGGATGTGGAGTTTCACATGGTAACTAACCTGGAGAAGCCAGGCAGCACGACGAAGAGTGCTCAGAGCGACAGCCAGCCAGTTATCCACTTTCTGCAGAGTCCGTGGCTCAATAGTAACAGAGGGACTCATTACTTAACATTGGTTCACCTCTTTCTCCATCCTCCCATTGATGTTCAGACCAGGGATTTGATTCTCGGCATCTGAATTTTCTAAAATTGCCAAATTTACTGAGTGCGCACATTTCAAATAAGCATGAGTATGTTGCAGAAATGATTAGATCTCAGGAAAAATCATGATGTATTTTTCTATGCAGAAATGTGTCCTGACTTCCGACAACCTAATAGCATCAAGTGTTTGGATGTTTGGGGAAGGGAAGGTGGCAGGGAGAGGACAGCTCTAAGTGCTGGGCAAACCCCCCCCCAAAAAAAAAAAAAGAAAGAAATACCTATTTCTGTGGATCAGTGTTTAAGGTTTAGAATGAGTCACCATCATGCCTCATGAATCCCTTTCTCATCTACTCACTGCTGTCAGAAGCAAGATTTTTACGGTGGTACGTAATGGCATAAAAGCTTCCTTTGAAAACGCTTGTCCTAATCAACGCGGATGTGGAGTTTCACATGGTAACTAACCTGGAGAAGCCAGGCAGCACGACGAAGAGTGCTCAGAGCGACAGCCAGCCAGTTATCCACTTTCTGCAGAGTCCGTGGCTCAATAGTAACAGAGGGACTCATTACTTAACATTGGTTCACCTCTTTCTCCATCCTCCCATTGATGTTCAGACCAGGGATTTGATTCTCGGCATCTGAATTTTCTAAAATTGCCAAATTTACTGAGTGCGCACATTTCAAATAAGCATGAGTATGTTGCAGAAATGATTAGATCTCAGGAAAAATCATGATGTATTTTTCTATGCAGAAATGTGTCCTGACTTCCGACAACCTAATAGCATCAAGTGTTTGGATGTTTGGGGAAGGGAAGGTGGCAGGGAGAGGACAGCTCTAAGTGCTGGTCCTACTAGGCATGACTGGTGATGTCCCCCATCTGTGAAGGCCGTGATGTTATATCTGATATTGTTATAAAAACTGTCCACTGTATGGCACAGGACCGTGGCTAGATAGAGTCATTTGAGCACCTATAGAGAGTTCTGTAGAGATTGGGAAAATGAATGAGGTCACTCAAAATGGGTATGTAATAGAATCAAGACCTTCAGGGCTTTCAGTATCTTGAGGAGAAGCAAAATTGTAAGAAACCTCCTGCCTGCAACTAAATATATAGAATCAGGTCCTCAGTGAAAGAGGATGGTTTGGGGCCATGCTGCAGTGGTGCATGCTGGGAAGATGCTGCCACCCTCTGCAGGCTGAGGTTTGATTGCCAGCACACCCTAAAAATCTGAATGTGAGTGCCATGGTGCGCACCTGTGATCCTAGCTGCTCAGGAGGCTGAGGCAAGAGTAATGTAATACAGTGACACTCTGTGTTTAAAATGATGGTAATAATAAAAGAAATGGTTTGGGTCCACGTGTTTATCGGATGTCTGTTATATTGGAGTCAGGAGACAAGGCCTAGTGGGACCAGGTATAAGGAACGAAAAGTTAGGTATCATCGAAGGATATTAGCATAGGGCCCTGAGGTACAGAAGGTCTAGGGAGTGTTTTTTGGAACCAGACCTTGATACATGAGTAAGATTTGGTTGTTTGAAAAATAGCAAGTAAAAAGCGTTTTTAGAGTGATGTTGATTTGGACAGCAGTGTGGCCGTGTTTAGGGCGTGATGACTGGTTCAGCATTCAGCAGCCAGCACTATGTTCAGTGGTTCCGTCTTACGGAGAGGTTTTAAGTAGTAATGGCTAGAGTGAAGGGTGTGCAGAAGGAAACTGTTGGATGTACATCAGCTCGAAGGTGGCCTGAGGCTGAGCATGGCCCATATTTGGGGGGCATTGGAGCACCCTCCAGCACAGACCGTAGTTTATAAAGATTGAACAAGTGAAAAAAGGAATGCGCGCTTGGTATTGAGCCAAACTGGAGGTAAGCAGAGTTTAGGTGAGAGTTAACGTCGATGGTGATAGTGGGAATGAAAGGAAGGACCTAAACGTAAGAATTGTAGGCCAGCTAATGTAATAGACCAATCAGGGACTGATTAGGCGATCGATATATATGTCAGAGTAATCATGAAGTAGGGGGATGGTTTAGAATGGATCAAGAAGAGATTTTCTTGGAAAAATAACAAATTTGTGTTTAAACTTGATAAAAGCATCTAGGCAATTCCTAGATGTCTGTCGGAGAGTTTACAGCTTGTTTTTGTTACTCACTAAAGCATAGCTATAGCCCAATAGCCCTAGTGGGTCTTAGAACCTGAAGTACTTCCCCCACAAGGCCTAAATCCAACAGGACGAGTGTGCTTCTCCTCCCCTGGCTGTATGTCTGACTTTCGTTTCTCTTGAAGTGGTTAAAATGTCAGGTGTATGTGTCTAGATATCTCACCAGACGTGTGTTCCTACCCTGGGGGTTGCTGCTGCCCTCCTGTGACTTTTCAGAGCTCTTAGGCTATTTCTGTGGCCCATCCTCCTTTGCTGCTTGGCCACTTGCTGTGAGAGTGTTCCTGGCTTCGCCAGTTGAAATCCAGGACACGCCTAGGTGGTTTATAAGGAAAATCAGAGATCCAGGAAGTTTTACCAGCTTGAATGAAGTATCTTTTCTGCCAAACATTAACTGGTCTTTGGTGCCTACTATAAGAAAGTCTGTATTATGCTGCTAAATTAAAACTCAGTAGTCAGAGCCAGCAGGTAGTATATTGGTTAAGGCACTGGACTCCCATGTGGTCGACCATGGTTTGAATCCCAGATCCCACAGCTTGAAAGTCAAACCAGGCGTGTGTGTGTGTGTCCCCAAAATTCCAAGAGGAAAATGGAGGAGAAGGGATTGTGGCATGACCATCCCCCCTGAAGAGAGGGTGATTTCTTGCTTTCTCTTTCTCTCTCTCTGGTGAGCATACATGCCATATGCCCCCCCCCCCAAAAAAAAAAAAAAAAAGAAAAAAAAAAAAAAGATCCCTGAGCTTCAGGAACTGTCTGGGAATTTGAAACATGCCAAATCCCCCCCCCCCCAAAAAAAAAAAAAAAAGAAAGAAAGAAAAAAGTTCAGCAGTCATGACGTGGCTCCTTTTACTAATGATGATTACAGATAGAGATCCAGAGTCATTGCAGTGATGGTGCCCTTCATACCTGTCATATCTACTTGAACTAAATCAGAATGTCCACATTGTGGCCTTGTCGATTTTTCGGAGTTTTGCTCAGTTCAGATCACAGGGGAGCCACTTAAGCTTATCAGGGTGGGTTCTGCAGTACACAGGAAGGATTCGCTGAGATGATTATTGAGATTGATTTATGTGTTTTAGATTCTGAAGGCCTTCTCAAAACCAAGGAAAAGAATCAGAAGCTTTACAGTCGAGCGCAACGCCACCAAGAGAAAAAGGAGAAGATTCAGAGGCACAATCGCAAACTTGGTGACCTGGTAGAAAAAAAAACAGTTGACTTGAGGAGTCATTACGAGAGTCTGGCAAGTCTTCGGCGATCCCATATATTAGAGCTCACCTCTGTCATCTTTCCAATCGAGGAAGTGAAGACTGGCGTGAGGTATAGTGAACAGGTCCTTGGACTCTAGGAATAGATCAAGTTCCATATATTATTTTCAAGTATGTCAGCACCTCATTTCTTTGACCTCATTCTAGGGTCGTTGGCTTTCCTGGTAATGCAACTGAAGCCTTATCTGCTTCAGCAAACAGTGCACACAGCACAGCACCCAGCCGGGGAGGCAGCAGGGTGAGGGGTGGGCCCAGGCTGTGCCCTCGCACAGAGCTTCCAGGTGAGCCGCTGCCTCAGCCCTCACTGAGAACCATGCGGGTGATGGCAGTTGTTGTCCCAGCCAGGCCATTTGTTAGTTGCGTGATATGAGGCAACTAACTTTAACCTGAAGGCTAACTTCTTGCCTGTTAAGTGGGTAAAAACTGCCTACTTTGTAGAGAAACTGAGCTAATATGGAAGAAAACACCTGTGCATTGAGTCTCTTAGATAGTCGGCATGGCACGTTGACAGCCTTTTCCTGGGAACTATTGTTTATGGTACTGGCTGCTCTCACATTCGAACACCTTTTCACTGGACGCAGTCAGCGGCCCCTCACCTGGGTGTTCATCATAGTCCCCTGGGGCTTTTGAAAGTGAAGGTATGTGGAGACCAGCAGATGGCATAATGGCTATGTCGCTGGACTCCCGAGTAGTTGACCACAGTTCAAGTCCCGGACCCAGTGGCTTAAACTCAGGCTGGGTGCATGTGTGTGTGCCCAAAATCCCGAGAGGAGAATGGATGAGAAGGGATTGTGGGGTGGTCATCTCCCTGGGAGGTGATTTCTTGCTTTCTGTCTCTTTGTCTCTCTCTGTCTTTCTGGCACGTGCATGTGTCCTGTAGCAAAAACCCCTCCTAAAAAAAAGAAAGAAAGTGAAGGTGTGAGAGGGCACACCTCCAAGCTCCCCGTTCATCTCCCCGCCCATGCTTCCATATTTTTTAACCTTCTGATCCTGCTGCTGCTGCTGCTGATCCACAGGTTTAGAAACTACCACCTAGGGCTTCGCCTGCTCTCTCACTAATCACCAGGCGGCCCTGCTATTCTGGGTGAGGGTTCTCTTGTTCTGGCTGCTGTTGCTCTTCAGCTCTTTTCCTGAAACGGACAGTTGGGGACTGTTGTCATCTTGCAGTTGTTCTTCCCTGCCTCTGTTGGGGTCCATCCTTTACTCTGTGGCCCTAGTTGACTTCCTAAAAGCCGACAAGTCTGACTGTTGCTTCCAGCCTGAAAACCTGCTCTCTGACTCTTTCCAAGTAATATAGCATTAGTAAGAGTTGGCAATTAGAAGAACAAAAAAGGCAGATTCAAAATAGAACAGAATAGAAAGCTCAGAAACATGCCCTAAGGTGGCATTGTGGATCAGTGGGGAAAAGTTGGACTATTCAGAATTTGGTGTAAAGACAGCCAGCCAAGACTCTGAGGTGGAAAACAGTGGCAAAACAGAAGCGTTATGCCAAGTTAAACTCGGATGGGTCGAAGACGTCAATGTTAGAGCACATGACAGTGAGCAAAGGCTAAGGCACTGTTCCAGGTTTTGAGAGACTGACAGCTGAATGCAGTGTGTGATCCTAGATTGGATCCTGGACTCTGTGATGGATTGTAGCTGGATTACTAGGGATAGATGAGTAGGGTCTATGGTTTAGTTAACGATGTCATGGCAGTGTTCATTACCTGCCTTTTTTTTTTTTAAGAGAGATTTTTGCCGTAGGGCACGTGCAGTTGCCAGAGACAGAGAGTTGGAAAGCAAGAAATCTCCTCCTAGGGGGATGGCCATGCCACAATCCCTTCTCCTCCATTTTCCCTTCAGGATTTTGGCATGCACACACACACACCCAATGTCAATTTTAAGCCTCTGGGACTCAAACCACAGTCAACTATGTGTAAGTCCAGCGATGTAACCATTACACCATCTATTGGTCCCAATTACTGGCTTTTTATTGCTATGTTTCCCTGAATTGATGATTTAGGGAGATTAAATGACTCGTTGGCAGGAAAATTTTGAAGTTCTTGCATCTTTCCTGTAAGGCTTGAGATTTCTTTCAAAAAGGAAATATGCCCATACTTACTAGAAGAGAAAACATGAGAAAAGCTTTCTCCTCTATGCTGCTGCCATTTTAATTGTTTTTTTAACTTAAGTGTACATTATTATATGCTGTTATTATTGTTATTTTTACAAAACTGGTGGTTTTGAAGTTATCATTCTGATAAGATTTCTTGTTTGTGGGACCGACAGAAGGCATAGTAATTTGGGTCACTGGATTCACACATGGCCGATTGTAGTTCAGGTCCCGGACCTGGTGGCTTGCTTTCTCACTTTCCCTCTCACTTCGTTCTTCTCTGGTTAAATTAAAAAATAAATAAAGTTAAATAATTTCTTAAAAAAAAAAGAAAAAAGATTTCTTGTCCGTTTGAATTTCTCTAACCGTCTCTGAACAGGAGATGGAAGGGGTAGAAGTACAGCTTAGAATTGGCCACAGTACCCCAGCCCCTGCCCAGTGTCATCTGTGACAACCAGTAGGAGTTGGCACACACACATGTTGTCACAGAAGGGAAAAAGATTGAGATCCTCTGGCCAAGAAGGCAGAATCCAGACTTGGGGCAGAAGGCCCTTCCCAATCTGCTCATTTCTGCCTACTTTTCCAGCACCATCTTCTGGCACTTTCTGTGCATCCTACACACCAGGCACACTGAATACCCCTGTTCTCCAAGCACGCTGTATTCTCCGTCTCTGTGCAGGTGTGCCTGCTGACTTCTTATGGTGGATTTCTATCCTATCCTTCACCAGCAGTTTTGTTTTTTCAGAGACCAGCTCTTACTCTGTTGCTCGGGGTGGCCTTGAACTGGCAAACTTCCTGCCTCAGCCTCTCAGTAGCTGGGATTATAGATGTACATCCCCACACCCAGATGCCGAGCTAGCCATTGAAGTGTGCTCGTGGACTTTGAGTCTCTAAGACCTCTTTGGGAGGATCCGTGATAATGTTAGCAGGCCAGCTGTAGTAGAACGGCTAGAAGCTGCTGCTTGGCAGGTGGAGGGCACATGAAAGGCCAAGGTTTGATTCCCAGTCCACCTTGGAGTCAGACACAGTGGGTGCACCTGTATTCCCAGCTGTCTCAGGTGCTCAAACAGGACGATGACAAGGTCGTGATCGGCACAGGCAACATAGTGACATCCTGGCTGAAAGAGTTGGGTGCAATGGCACGCACCTAACAGTCCCAGCTACTGGGGAGGCTGAGTCGGGAGAATTGCCATATAGTGTAGTGAGTCTTTAGACGCACACACACACACACACACACACACACACACAGTAATAATAATATTTTTTCCTTTTTCACTATGTTGATAATTGCACTGGAGGCTCAAAAGCCAGGTAGACCTGGACACACTCCAGGGCAGCATCATCAAACTGTAGTAGCCAGCTAAAACCAGCAGTGCTTTTCATGGGCCACTCTTCTAATGTGAAAGAACAGCCAAAAGACTTGGGTATTGAAGAGATTTTTTTTAAATGTAAAAATAATGTCACTCTTTACTAATGTTTATTTGGAAAGAAAGAAGAATATGCTGTGTTAACATGTAATGGGTTTATTGTTTTCTTTTTTTTAAAGAATTATTTTATTTAACTTTATTTATTATTATTATCATTATTATTTTCCAGTTTGATCAGAGAGACACACAGAGAGAGAGGAAGTGAGAAAGCAAGCCACCAGGTCCGAGACTTGAACCGTGGTCGGCCATGTGGGAGTCCAGCGCCTTTAACCACCATGCCACTTGCCGGCCCCATATTGTTTTCTTAAATAATGAATTAAATTTTTATGTGTTAATTTCTAATTCTGCAACTATCCATAATCTAATTTACATAAACAAAAATTCTTTGGGATCTTCAACTGGTTTTTGTTTATTTGTTTGTTTGTGTGTGTTTGCTATATGCTTGGAGCGTATGCGCCAAAAAGAGGGA